AAACATACACACTGTTAACTAACAGTGCTGCATTAACTAAACGCAGAAAAACAAAATGCTTCAAATAAAAAACGCTGCAAGAAGCTCAAAACGCAACGGAAACCAGGCACACAAACAATTGAAGCACACAGCTGGGACCGGAGCACTTGTTGACATTCTGGGATTATTATAATTGGCCAAATTGGTGAATGTTTTCTAAATGCTGCGCATGTAAACACATGTTGTCAAGTTGGTGAAGATGTTTCTTCATTTTCATGCGTTTTGGCATATTTATTTTATTTGCATTGTGTATGAATGAATAGCACGTTTCTCCTGGAAGTGTCTTAGGCCGTTGTAATGTCATTGGCCGTCAGCCAACTTAGTATATAGATTGAAAAGCTCATATACAAGAGCATATAAGTCCAATGAGCCAGAATCAGTCACTTTGAATTTAACTTTCTGTCAACGGACACTTGCTACTGTATATCCTTTACTGTAGAACAGTGTTTGTATCAAAAGGTGACAGATATATACAACTAATAAATACCAAAAAGGACAAAATATCAGGAAGTGCGTGACGTAGTTGTTGTTTCTTTGTTCTGAAGACAGCATCTACCCCGTTTATAATTGAACCTCCACCCATTGTTGGCTCACTGAACCTGGATGAATTGATTCAATTTTGCTCAATGCTGACTGAGTGTCACTTGAACGCAACACGCCCAGGGGAGTGATGGGAATGTATTTTTGTTTGTGTCATCATCAGTTCTCCACGTCTTCCTCCTCTGCCTCATTCTCGGCTTCAGGTTCCTCGTCCATGCGCTCCTCCTCCTCCTCTTCCTCCTCCCTGCTCTTATCGTTCTCAGAGTCGGTCTTCTTCTCTCTGTCTTTACGTTTCTGCTCAGACACCTCCTTCTTTCCTTTCTGGCCCTTCTTGTACACTATAAAAGAATAACAAATATTTGTGTATTACATAAACATTCTGGAAATCTTAGATGTTGGTCTCAATAGGTGTATTTCCATCTATATCGCTAACATATTTTCAATTTGAACGTAAAGAAAAGCAAAATTAAGAGTTAAAAAAACAGACTTTGATAAATAAATCATGTGATTTAAATATCCACTAAAGAGTGAAATAGCGTGGGTAAATAAAAGGGTGTCGAGGGTCTACCCCAAATTACACAGCTTTCTTCGGGCCTCTCGGTAATAGGGTTCGACGCGTCACACAAACACGACATACCCGTTGCAGGACCATTCCTATTTGTGTGAGTGAATCTTTTTTAGTGTAAAGGGAAACTCACAACTGAAAGTGTTTTTTTTCCACAGTTTCCTTTTTGCATTATATTGAAACGGTCATCGGTAATATATCCCAATGTCTTGGCACTTATAATAAAACACTGTAAGGAATAAAATGGGAGATTAAGCTATTTTTACAAAAAGACAAAAAACAAGTTCACGTTTTGTTGAAACGGTACTTTCCGGTTTTCCTTTTTGAGACTTGCGTCCTCTACAAACAGACGCTACCTCCTTTACCTCCAAAGCTTGGCTAAGACCTCGGAGAGTGCTCTTCGAGATTCTTCCCGCCCGCGCGCGCGAGTGCATGCAGTGAAGACTTCCTTTTATATTACACATTAAAGTTCCGAGGTAGGAGTGACGGTGTCAGTGAAAAGGTATTTTTGAGGTCAGAAAATATTTTCCCGTAGAACGAACAATATTTTAATCCGGGACTGTACAAAAAAG